ACGGCCTCCAGGCACCGGGCCATCACATCAAGGGCATCGTTGGGGTGACCTGGGGTGGAGATGTACAGCTGGGTATCATCAGCGTACTGATGGAACTCCACCCCAAAGCCACGGATGATCTCTCCCAGCGGCTTCACATAAATATTGAACAGTAGGGGAGAGAGGACCGACCCCTGAGGCACCCCACATGTTAGGGGTCGGTCCTAGAAGGGATTCTAGATTCTAGGGAACATCAACATTCTGATGATGTTACCTAGTTTGGTCATGAAACGTCTTGAAGAAAACCACCAAGCTCAGAGAGCATCAAGAATCCCACCGTAGTCGTCGTCGTCGTCCTCCTCCTCCTCCTCATCCTCCTCATCCTCCTCCTCCTCTTTGCAACACCCCTCCCTTGTAGCACCTAGTTGGATAATGAAATCACACGAGCTATTAAGAAAACCAAGGACTCTTTGTTTCTTTTCAGTTTTTCCACTAACCTGGGTTGGAGCATTCAGAGGTTACTTGAAGGGAGGCCAAGCAAGGTCACCAAATTGCCAAGCTGGAAAAAAATAAATGTTTTATTCTGGAATGTGGAGGATTAGCCCAGTAGACGCAGATGGCTGTCAGGAAATTAATTTCCTTAATTCCGGGTTGGGTCTCTCACCCGTCCTTCGTTTTGTCATTTTGCAGGGGTTACAAGAATGTGAAAAAGCAGCCGACGGGACTGAGCAAAGAGGTATTTTATCTATTTTTTAAAATAACAGAATAACAGAGTTGGAAGGGACCTTGGAGGTCTTCTAGTCCAACCCCCTGCTCAAGCAGGAAACCCTATAAAACATTTCAGACAAATGGCTGTCCAATCTCTTCTCAAATGTGATTTTAGTACACGGGTCCCCAGGTTTTTATACTAAGCAGCCATAGAATAAAATAGGGTCGCGAATAAATTCAGTTGGCTATTTCCTGAGAGGCTAATAAAAGAACTGTGTTTCAAAGTATCTTGGTGCTTTAATAATAAGCTCACAATTTGATCTGCTTTGAATTCTTTGTTTGTGTGTGTGTGTGAGAGAGAGAGAGAGAGAGAGAGAGAGAGAGAGAGGGAGGGAGGGAGGGAAGGAGAGAGGGAGAGAAAGAAAGAAAGGGAGAGAGAAAGGAAGGGAGAGAAAGAGAGAGAGAGAGAGAAAGGAAGAAAGAAAGAAAGAGAAACAGAGAAAGAAAGGGAGAGAAAGAGAGAGAGAGAAAGAAAGAGAGAGAGAATTTAATCTTTTGATATGGCACAAAGCATCCCATCTCTTTGGCACAAGGAAAACTGCAAACGCTGCTTTTAGGGAGATCTCTGCATATCTTACAAAAACAGGGCAAAGAAACTATTTAATCCGTTTTGATAAGGGATAAATTTTGACCATCCGGGCAGTCCTCAGCTTACGACCACAATAAGAACCAGCATTTCCGTTGCTAAGCGAGATGGTAGTTAAGTGAGTTTTGCCCCATTCTATGACCTTTCTTGCTCCAGTCAGTAAGCAAATCCTTGCAGTTGTTAAGTGAGTCACACGGTTGTTAAGTGAATCCGGCTTCCCCCATTGACTTTGCCTGTCAGAAGGTCGCAAAAGGGAATCACAGGATGCTGCGACTGTCATAAATATGAACCAGTTGCCAAGTGTCTGAATTTTGATCACGTGACCCTGGGGGATGCTGCAACCGTCGCAGTCACAAGTCACTTTTTTCAATGCTGTTGTAACTTCAAACAGTCACTAAACAAGTGGTTGTAAATTGAGGACTACCTACCGTCGCACAAGGGCAGGTATGGTGGTTTATTGACCTCAGACCTGTCTGTAACTGTTTCCCAGGACCTCGCCGAAGTCTGCAAACGGAACGAAGGAGATCATGACGATAAGAGTGTCCATCGTATCATGGGACTGGGTAGTTCACGGTAAGCACTTCGCCCTACCTGGTGGGACTGGAGGTTCAAGAAAGGTGAGAGGCAGTGTGGGCTAGTGGTGAAGCAGCTGGACCAGGAGCCTGGTTCTACTCAGCCCAGGAGGGTTCGGGACAGTCCCTCCCTCTTGGCCCAAGGCCAAGTTGGGATAAAACAGCATTTTCTCAACCTCAGCAACTTGAACATGGGTGGACTTCAACTCCCAGAATTCTCTACTCAGCCGGCTGGGGAATTCTGGGAGTTGACGTTCGTTCCCGTGTCTTTCAAGCTGCTAAGGTTGAGAAAGACGGATGTAGACAATATGGAAGATGAGCTGGACAAGATACAGTAGGCCGGATCCCTTACCCAGACCAATAAGGGGAAAAACAATCTGCAGGTTTTTGAGCATACAACGTAGTTTTTGAGCAGGGGGTTGGACTAGAAGATCTCCAAGGTCCCTTTCAACTTTGTTATTCTCAAATATTCTGAAATAGTTGGTCCAAAACAAGAAAGTTTGTGCAAAAAGTTCAGATACCTCCTTAATTCACATATGTATAAGTTGGGGAAGTCGAGCACAATCAGTCTTCCAAGACACTTTTGATGGATTATGTGATGTCACGTTGGTGTCAACTCTTAGTGGATACCTAGATCTATGTTCTGGGAGGAGCCACCAGTCTGAGGAATTCTGGGAGTTGAAGTACATATGTCTTAAAGTTGCTGGAATTGACAGACGCTGGTATAGACAGTAAGGAGGATGACCTTCAGAGAAATAAGCCAGATTCAACTATGATGGTCTTGAAACCATCTCCCTCCCTTCCACCACGGATGATGTTCCCTTGTTGGGTCATGAAATGTCTTCAAGGAAACCACCAAGCTTAGAGGGCACCAAGGATCCCACAGTTCTCCTCCTCCTCCTCCTCCTCCTTTTCCTTTTCCTTCTTCCTCGTCTGTTCCTTCTTCATCTTCGTTCCTTCTTCTTCTTCTTCTTCTTCTTCTTCTTCTTCTTCTTCTTCTTCTTCTTCTTCTTCTTCTTCTTCTTCTTCTTCTTCTTCTTCTTCTTCTTCTTCTTCTTCTTCTCCTTCTTCTTCCTCCTTCTCCTTCTCCTTCTCCTTCTCCTCCTCCTCTGTGCAAACTCCACTCCCTCTTAACACTGATGATGTTCCCAAGTTGCTTCATGAAATGTCTGTAAGAGAGCACCAAGGACCCCAGTCTCCTCCTCCTCCTCCTCCTCCTCCTCTTCACAAGCTCCACTCTCTCTTTTAACACTGATGATGCACAGCTAGTACCCGACTTACAACCGCAATAGGAAACCGTACTTGCGCCACCAAGCATTTTACCTGATTTTACCACCCTTTTTTGCCATCCTTGTTAAGGAAATCCCTGCAGTTGTTAATTGAATCAGGCAGTTGTTAATTGAATCCTGCTTCCCCCGTTGATTGTGGAGGTCGCAAATGGTGCTTATGTGACTGGAACTGTTGTAAATACAATTGTTAGGTTAGTGACTTGGTCGTTAAGTGAATCTGTCTTCCAACATTGACATTGACTTTGCTTGTCAGAAGGCCGCAAAAGGGGATCACGTGACCCAGGAACGCTGCGACCATCGTAAATACGAGTCAGTTGCCAAGCGTCCGAATTCTGGTCACATAACTGTGGGGATGCTTTGATGGTCGTAAGTGCGAGGACCTATCATAAATCACTTTTTAGTGCTGTTATGTCTTCAAACAGTCACTAAATAATAAAGTTGGAAGGGACCTTGGAGGTCATCTAGTCCAACCCCCTGCTTAGGCAGGAAACCCTATACCATTTCAGACAAATGGCTGTCCAGTCTCTTCTTAAAAACTTCAAGTGTTGGAGCATTCACTGCTTCTGGAGGCAGGTTGTTCTACTGGTTAATTGTTCTAACTGTCAGGAAGTTTCTCCTTAGTTCTAGGTTGCTTCTCTCCTTGATTAGTTTCCATCCATTGCTTCTTGTCCTGCCTTCAGGCGCCTTGGAAAATAGTTTGACTCCCTCTTCTTTGGGGCAACCCCTGAGATATTGGAACACTGCTATCATGTCCCCCCTCGTCCTTCTCTTCGTTAAACTAGACATACCCAATTCCAGCAACCGTTCCT